CCAAATCTTTGCTATCCTTTTTTGTAAATAATATTTTATTAGAACACAACCCTGCCCACTCATTTACATATTATCTATGGTTTCTTTTATTCTAAAACAGCAACAGAATTGAGTCATTGTGGCAGAGAGCTTATAGCTAGTAAAGCCAAAAATATTTTCTATATTACTCTACATAAAAAGCTTGCAGGTCCCAGATCTAGACTCTAATGTTGCATTGTCCAGTATGGTGACCATTGACTGTATGTAGCTGCTGAGTGTTTGAAATGTGAGTGGTGTAGATTGAGATGGGTTATAAGTATAACATATCAGACTCCAAGACTTGGTAAAAAGAAAGGAAAAGAATGGAAACATCTCATCAACTTTTGAATATTGATTAAATGTTGAAATGATAATATTAAAATTAGTTTTGCTTATTTCTACTTTTAAAAAATGTGATTATTAGAAAATTTTAAATTTGACTCACATTAGATATCTGTTGACAGTACTGATCTAAACTCTGGAATTTGGAGGATACGTGGCATCTAGAAAAAGTCAGAGAGAGAGGAAATTTGCAAATATCTTTCTGTATCACCAAGATATTTTGGCGGGTGGCAGGTACTGAGGATTAACCCAGGGGTACTTTACCCCTGAGCCACATCCTCAGATCATTTTATTTTTCATTTGGGACAGATCTTACAAAGTTGCTTGGGGGCTCACTAAGTTGCCCAGGCTGACCTCCAACTTGGCAATCCTCCCGCCTCAGCCTCTCAAGTTGCTGGGACTACAGCCATGTGCCACCACAGCTAGCTGCACCAAGAGTTGTTTTCAATGTAACAGTTCCTCATAGGGAGGAATATTTGAAAAGAGCATATTAGGTTGTCTGTGGAAATGGTCTCAAGGGAGTTCTCCTAGAATCCTACTCTGAGAATTTGACTTGGGAGGTGATCCAGAAAGCACCTGGAAGGGGAAGAAATATGGGAGGGAAGGAAGAGGAAAGAGGTTGTGTTAAGGTGGAACCCATGTCCCCTCCCAGTGAGGCCCTGGATGAGATTTTATGGACCAAGACTCACAGTGGTTCCACCCAGAAGGTGAAGAAGCTGTGCTGTTCATCCCTCAATTCTAGTAGTTTCTGATGGAGGGCTGCTTTGGGGGCATTGGCCTCCCCTGACTCTCCCCAGTACTGCAGCCTTTCCTGCCTGGGGCCAGACACAGCCCTAGTACAGAAAGGCCCAGGTGCTTGTAGAAAACTCCATCAGCAAGCTTGGGAGTCATGTCTGCCAGAGATAAAGGAGTGGGCCCTTCTGGTGTCTGGTACCCAGATTAGACTGTTTTATCCTCAAATTCATAATTTTAGCAAACACGTGTACTTTCCTGGTGTATCTGTTTTTCTTGTGATCTTAAAAATAGCATACATAGGTAGATTGATCATGATCTGCTCGATATGGATGGGAAAACTGAACCCAAGACATGTCTAATCATTTATCCAAGAGAATCCAGCTAGGGTGGTAACTCAAGTCTCTTTGCTTTCATATGTGATCACTCATGCCTCACTTTTGGGGTTTCTAAAAAACTTGGCTTGATAAGGAGACATAAATATATTGAAGTTTTTAATGTGACAACAGGAAACTTAAGTTTTTGTACTGTGGAAGGTTTTAGACTTCCATAGTGAAGTTGATAGTTATGTCTACCTAGTCTTAAGACTCTTATGCCAAAAAAATGTTCTCTCTCTTTGGCATAAAGTACAATCAAAACCAAAAGGTTATCGAACCTACTGACCACCATACAGGATGTTAACGAATAGAGTTAACCTCCAAAAATGTTCCAGAGAAGTCTATAGTGGAAGTGGACACATGGCTGAGTGAAAAGTGGATTTTCTTCCTTTCCCACTACCCACGTTCTCTTCAAAGATGTTGTCAGCACCTTTGGTACTACTTGGAAACAAGTCTCTCTCTCAGCATAATTTCCCTTTATTATACTTCTAACTGACTCAATAATTCTTTGCGGACTTCAGTAACACTTGTACTATTTAAATTTGAATAACCCCAACGGATCTGGATAGGTCAAAGTGTTTAAATCACAGGCTTTAGTCTATGTATTAGTTGATTAAAAACAGATTTTATACATGATGTATACTTAATAAAGGGAGGGGGTGCAAGCAGATGTTTGTAAAATCTTAATGTGTTGGACTGCATTTATTTGGCTCTCTGACTAGCTTTAGAAAAGTCATACCTATGACAATTGAACTGTAAACAGTTAGATGATGTATTTCCCTAGAAATTTCCTGCTATGAAGGGTCAGCCAACAAGAAAAGTAAAAGGATTCCCTAAGATTAACACACAAAAAGAAACTGACTAATATACCTTATAATAGTCACATCTAAATCAAGGACAGTAAATAATGCAATACCTCAGAATTATTTTCTGGTCTTTGACCATAAAGTGAAGACCAGTTGGAGTTCATTTAATCCAAGCAGTAGAAAAACTTAAGGCTTTTGGTGGTGGGGTAGGGGGAAGGGTTGTTGTTCAGAGCTTGGAAAGCAAAAAAAATTTTGATGCAAACATTACTTAAATCACTCTTTGACTTTCTGGCCTCTCTTTGTATCCCATCCTCTACATGGGGTTTTCTCTTTCAAAATAGTTATATTTGAGATGTTTTTGGTGTTTCCAATACAAAATTGATGGTTTCTTGTTGGTATTCCAGTCTGGATAAAATAGGCACAAATCTCACCCTGCATTCTGAATGCATGAGAATTATAGGCAAAATATTTTAAAGTGTATTTGGAAGAATTCATAACCAACCTTAAATGTAAGTAGAAAATATCCAGGAACCAGAAATGAAAGAAACTGTAGAATGGTGAGGGGGGAACTGAAGTTAGGCTGCTCTCAAGAAGTAGAGACGAGATGGGGCAATGGGGACTTCAGAGAACACATGGGGCAGTGTACTCTGCCTGTGGTAGAAGCCCCATACAACTGGAAGTAAAGACACCCCCCCCCCCAACACATACCAGGCTCAAAGGACCCCTCACATCTCTGGAATTGAAGCCAGACATGGAATTCTCTCAGAAGGAAATAGAGGCACTGAGCCAAACCAGGATCTGAGCTTCCTTGGCAAACTGGTGTCCTGAGGGGAGCACCCTCTTTGTGGGGAAAAAAACCTTATGTCCTAACCTCAGAGTGTGCACTTCACTTTACTGGATATCTCAATCCTCAAATCACAGTATGGGGAGGAAAGTTAACATCAGATGAACTGTCAGACAAAACTTACAAGACACAAGATAAAATCAGATCCTTTGGAAACATGAAGCAAACACAGGAAAATGTGCAATTGCCCTTTCTCAAATGAGCTTAAGAATAAGTTATGTTTAGTTTTCTTGAAATTATGAAGAAGGAAATTGCATCTTTGTAAAAGGAGCAGAAAACAGTTCAACAAAGGGAGATGTGATAAGAACCTAGTTGAAATGAAAATACAGCCATTGGAATTAAAGAAAAATCCTAGACAATAAAATGTCAGATTAATAAATTTAATTTATTATAACCAGAGATTTCTGCTTTTGACTTTATTTTAAGCATTAGGTAAAAGTGATTGTTTTCTCCAATACACCTTTCTAAGTAAAAAGTTTTGGAAAGTAGGACAAGCTAAAAGTTCCATAAATTCTTCAGCCTGATGCAGAGGTTACCACCTTTATGAAAATCTTAGTTTTCAAACTCTCTTCACTCTTTACAAATCTTGTTTTGGGGGGTGTGTGTGCTAGGGATAGAACACAGATCTTGTGCAAGCACTCCACCACTAAGTACACCCTCAGCATCCAACTCATCTTTCCCAGATGGCATTAAAAATCTGAGATCTATTAGCTTTTCCACAAAATTTCCCTTTGTTGCATATCTCCACTGTATTTGTGGAACTACTTATATGTTAAAGCATATATTTTCACTATACTTATACTTCCCTTATATGATATTGATCTATTTCCATATGCTCACTTCCATCTGCATTTAATCTCTCCAAGAAATGATGATTTGGGTCCAACAAAAAGTCTCTACCCATCCTTCCACCCTCAGACAAAAGACTTTGCCCCCCTGGGAAACCTTTAAGTAGCCATGGATTCTCTCCCTTCCCTTATTTCCAACATCTCTCTCCCAATTGCACAGCCATCTCCTTGTGAATAGGGAGTAGATGCTTTTATTTTTGCTTCTCCAGTAATTCTCTGAGTCTGACATATATTAGAAGCTTAATAAGTACTTGTTGTGTGAATGGATAAGTAAATGAATGAATGTTATAAATGAAGAACTCATGGAATGAGAAGGAATTTAAATGAGTCTTACCCAGAACAGAGGGTTATTGTGGTTGAAAATATGATTAAATATTCATTCCAGGGAACTTTAAAAATCTGATGCTCTAAAGGAATAAGGAATGATTCTATAATCTTAAACAGGACAGTGATATAAATAGAGTGTTCAAGGAAATTTTCTTTGGCATTGATAGACAAAGAATAGAAGCATGTACAATAAAATGTAGTATGAGTAAATGTGTGAGACAAGAACGTCTTATAAATGCCTGTAAATGGGCATATTGTCAGGAATAGCTGATCAAGTTAACTTCCTTTCAAGAGATTTACCTCCGCCTGACCACAAAATGGTAAATCCTAAAAATTCAGAAGTAGGTGATTTGATGTGGGAATATGTTCTTTATATTATTGCCATTTCAGATTCAGGTAAAGGGATAAAAATCCAATTATTTCCTTTTCCCTAGTTCACCACCTAGCAGTAACCCATAACTAATTATTTGGTTAAATATCTGAGTTCGTACAAGAAGTAGAAACAAAAAGATGAAGTTTGAGTATTTTTACAAAGTTATTTGAAATGCAACTTTTGAAAATGCAGTTTGAATCTATAAATACTTGAAGCTGCATCCATTTCACTGGTTTCTGAAAAATGTATCAGTTTTTCTGAGTATGAGTAGTTTTGTATATATTAAAATATGAAAGTATGCAGAATAACATTTTTCCTCTCTTCTTTGAACAGCAAAACTTAGAGAGTAACCTCACCAACCTTATTAAGAGGAACACGGAACTGGAGACCCTTTTGGCTAAACTCATCCAAACCTGTCAACATGTCGAAGTAAGTGTCTATCTCTGTGTGGCATATTCCTTGTGAAAACTTCTAGGTCAGCGTTTTTATATCCACATGCTTTCAAATTTCAAAGTCATCTTTGTTCAAATTGATTCTTCTGAAGAAGCCAAATATATAAGATGGATGGAATTAGAAAGAACTAGAACCTCAGCGAATCTCTTCCCATCCAGGACTGTTTCCCCTCCTTTTATAGCTCTCCTTGATCCAGCATTGCATAGCATTCCTAAGTACAGATTTTAATCACTTCTACAAAGAACAGCCAAAGAAAGCACTATTTATAAGGTATTCTGTTAGTTTACTAGGGCTCCTGTAACAAATTACCACAAGCTTGGACAGCATAAAACAACAGAAATTTATTCTTTTACAGTTCTGGATGCCAGAAGTCCAAAATTCAAGGCCCTCCTTCTGTCTGAAGTCTGAGGGAGGATCCCTCCTGTCTCTTCCCACCTTTTGGTGGACTTCCTTGGTTTGCAGCTGCAGCATTGAATCTATGCTTTTGTTGTCACATGACATTTTCCCTATATGTCTCTGTTTGTGTCCAAATTTCCTTCTTCCTGTAATGACTCCAGTAATTGAATTCAAGCCCACCTTACTTCATTATGATTTCACTGTAACTTGATTACATCTGCAAAGACCCCATTTCCCAAAAAGGCCCAATTCATAGGTACCATTGAACATATTTTGGGAGGCACAATTTAGCCAACTACACATATATATTAAATGCTTCTTATTTGCAACATGTTTCCATACATCAACCACAATTGCACCAATAACAACCTGCAATGATACTGTACCTCATATGGGAAAAATGGATGCTAGTTGCTTATGGCAATTTTAGAGGCCTTTTCCAACTTCTCTGACCCTGTCTTTCCCACTACCCACACCCCACACACTGAAATGAAACAATTGCTTATTCACCCTGCCTTCAAGCCTTCTGGCCTTTAGCCCAACAGATCCCTCTGCCTGGTAGCTTCACCCGCACCCCATGCCTCGTTGTCTGAATCATTCCTATCTGTCCTCCAAGTTCTGACTTGAGGAATACTTTAATTGTGAATATTTCTATGGTTCTCTGAACCAGACTCATCCCTCCTTTCTCTGAATCTCATAACATTTTATCAATAATCTTGTAGTTTTAATCACCATTTCATGTATTGCTTCCATTTTTCCAATTAGAATATAAGTTATTTGAAAACAGGAAACAAATGCAGTTTATCTTCAAATCCCAGATTCTTGCATAGTAATTTTTATACAGTTAAAGCTCAGGAGCCTATAAATGTGTATGATTTCAATGTTTTTATGTATCAGTTAAAATAAATTTTTAAAAAAGCTCAGGGAAAGGGCTGGGATTGTGGCTCAGTGGTAGAGCACTTGCCTCGCATATGTGAGGCACTGGAGTCAATACTCAGTACCACATCAAAATAAATAAAGGCATTGTGTTCATTTACAACTAAAAAATAAGAAAAAAAGCTCAGGAAATTTGTTTTGTACAAATATGCACAATGACTGCAAATAGCCAATTTGAACACTAATAACAATTAAAGTACAGTGTGGTAGAAGGTGAGGCCCTGAGCTAGTAGATTATTGCATTTTTTAAGAGGCATGCTTTTTCACAAACCAGTTTGTCTGAAATTAGATTACAACTTCAAAAAGTTAATAATGGGGCAAGTTAAATGGTTGGCATTTTTTTCTTTCCTACTAACACAAAATATGAGTGAGATATTTTCCAGCATTCTAGATTGGATAAATATGGTATGTGGAGGGGCAATTAAAAGAGAGGAACACAACTTAGCTGAAGGTTTAGTGGGGAGTGAGACTTTAGTAGATTTCACACAAGCTGTTTTAAGAAATACTTCAGCATTGGGGGTAAGCTTATTTGTACAACACAATGGTGTTTAGCAGTGATACATTCTTCAGCATGGTAAAAATCAGTAAATGCTGCTTTCAGGTACTTTCAGCTTAAAAGCATATCTACTATGCAAACACTGGTGCTTTGAGGGAAGGTTTCAAATACTTAGGTTCATAAAGTTTGTACTTTTACTTACAAGTGCTCTCATTTGATTGAAAGTTTAAAATTGGTTACTGAGAAACATGTGAGCTGGAACTCCTAATTTGTTATGCTTTTCTGTGATAATATCTAAGGGGTAGGAATTAGATGTGTCCTCCTCCCCTATCTGAGCCATTCAATCTATGCTGATGAGCAGGCTGTGATGGGTGGGGGATGGAAAGACGTATACAATGAAAAGCGAGGAGCAATAAGAGCAAAATGGTGGTGAGAGACTAGATTAGAGCTGGTCAAGTAGCTCAGTGGTTCACGTCATAGAGCCCCTTGACTTAAAGAACTATGTGAGCTTTAAGGTAGAGGCAATCTTTTCATTATGTTGGATGAAGTAGGAAGTGTGAAGGCAGCAGCAACAGAGACAGCATGTTGTGCCAGACCTTTCTATTCTTCTGCTTCAATAGGATTTACTTGTGTCAGTAATCTCCCCTGGGAACACATTGAGTCTTATTGATAAAACAACATTGGAAGTAGTAGTGAACAAGCATAATGTTTTCATTATGGCAGGGTAAAGTAAATATGTAGCACACAAATAAATGGATGAACAAAATAGAATGATTCGTGTGCTATATTTTATTTTTATGATGCAATGTCATTTGATATTTAGAATAGTAAGAAAGAATAATTTTTCATTGGTTAAAAAATACCTGTGCTTTATGGTAAATCTTATAAATGCTTTATGGATAGGGTGATTATTTCATTCAATTTCTGCTAGTTACTTCTTAAAGGCATTAGTGTCTGGTTTCTATTATGACTGGTAGTGATTTCAGAACAAATGCCTTGTTCCTAATGCAATATTAATATGACTTGAATTTACAAAATGCAATTCATCCTAACATGATGTCAAGTTACATTCTATCATGTTCAGTAATTTCAGATGAGAGATAAACTCAAGAAATTGACAAGCAGACTATTTTTATTTCAAGATATCAGATATTATTTTAGTTGAGATATGGGCTTTTAAAATGAAGCTATTACTGAGTCAATTGTTGCAGTTTTGCAAATAGACACATATATGTCATTAGAAGTTATTCTAGATAAGGAGTAAAGAATATTTGTAGCTTTCTCTGTTGCTTTGTATAAATCTTTTGGAATGGAAAAAAATGTTTACAGGTGAGTAAATTCGGAATTCAGGACATTTACTCTAGACAAAAATTAAATTATTTATGAGTAGAAAAATAATGATAGTAGAAGTACCTAGTTTTACATTTATTCCCTATCAGTTCTCATATAATAATTGAATGAGTACATACCAGATTTATTTATCTCATTAATGAAGGAACCAGTATGGTGTTAAAGATGGTTCAAAAGAGGATACCCAGAAACTGATCCATATATACATGGGGGTGGGGGTGGGCAGGGAGCAGTAGGGGAAAAAGAATGCGAGAATGACAGAGCCAAATTAGCCACAACACTGATCAGTGACCCACAGGACAACATGGCAAAAACATTTGGGTAAAGTAAGTTGCATGACACCAGTTTTCTCTAAGTTCATATCTACCTTTGTGGAGTCTAAGCCATAATCAATATCAAATACAAAGCCCAACTGTGTTCCATTCCAGTTTGGAGAGTCAGGTAACCCGGACTGAGCCTGGCTTCATGGAGTATTACTAGTATGACATTGGAAGGCACACTGTCTTCTCTTTGTCTTATTTCCATGTTTTGATTAATTTTGCTTAAGATGACCTTCTATTGTGGAGACTGTTGGTCTTTGGACTCTGCTGTATGTTGCACCATGCTAGTTGCAGAGAACCCTGTTCACAGGGAGCTATCTTCACTAACACAAAAGATTACTTACAATATAATAAAAAGTAAAACTGTAATTGCCATGAGTGAGGTGTGAGTAATATACAATTACTTCCAGCTAGGGGTGGGAGAGGGCACATGTGATCTTAGCCTTCCTTCAAGGGAAGGCACCATTTGGGTTTACCAAGAGAGAGAGGAACAACACTGCTTGCAGTGTTGGAACAGGAAACAAGGACTGAATGAATATAGAGCAAATGGTTTTATCTGGAGAAATGGAAAATGTGTAGGAAGGAAGAATAGGTAGGAACCAGTTTTGAAGGGATGGGAGCTGGAATGCCTTTCATAATTGCATTTGAGTTTGAACTTTGCCCTTGAAGGTTCACAAATGTTGAAGGAACACAGACCTCTGTAAGTTTCATACTTACAATTGAAATCCCTAATTCTTTTGAGGAAATAATAATTTCAGTTAGTGTGAAAATAATATGTATGTCTTTGTGCAAGACAATCACCCATGCAAGGGAAAACTTCACAGCACTAGGAAACTCTAAAAAGTTAGTGGAATTTGTTAGGCACCAGCATGCTATTCTTTTAAATCACTGCAGTGGAAAAGAATTTCCTGATTCACATCCGAGGTTCCTAGACTGTACTTCTTCCTTTTCCTCTTCCTGAAGGTGTCCTTGTATTTGGGTCTGAGCATTTCTCAAGAAAATAATTCCCATGCCAGCTGGAGCCAAAAAAACTCCCAGCACAGGGGCAACTCCTAATTGTTGTAAATTAAATCAATGAATTCCTTCCCATGGACTCAGGGAGGAAATGCCACATCCTTATAAGTCTACCCCTCCTCCTGGGCTTACACCTTTGGTTTTCTTTAAAATGGAGGAGTTTGAAGGCCTTCCCCCTGACCCTCATTGTTTTCATAGCTTGTTTTATAAATGAGGATAAGCAACCAAAATGGCTTTTTGATTGTGTAATTGCCAAGTCTTATTCAAACTAGAGAACAGAGGATATGAAGGCCAAGACATTTTGTGACTGAGGAGGCAGAGGCTTTGAAAGAGGAACTTTGGTTTACCCAAGAAATGTTTGTGTAACTTGATGGCTGGGATTCTAAAAACAAATGAGTTTTTAGCTGCTTTGTTTTTTTTTGTTTTTGTTTTTGTTTTTTTCCTGTAGGAGAGAAAGATAGTAG